AATCCATTAAGAAATGAGCATGAACCATCAAGAAAATTACAAGAGCATTCCATTAAGCACAATATTTTGACAATCTCTAGATCTATGACATTAATACACATAGACATGCACCAATAATACAAGAAATAGAGACAAACACATGAACATCTATTCTAGCATACATAGACATATGGGTAGAATGAAATGATCAATTGGAAGCATTAAACCACATAAATCATTGAATAAACAAGATCTATATATATATAAATGCCAAAACATATATTACAACACTAATCTCTCAATAATACACAAAATCAAGATGTAGAAAGCATGCTTGGGGCTAACTCTAGCCCCAAGAGGATGTCTAGTCACTCATGGTAGTGCTTCTCTAACCCTCTAGGGCTAACTCCATGGTAGAGATTTGCTCCTTGGTTGATGAAGAGTCTCCAATGATGTCTCTAGCCTCCTCATCCTCTAAGCTTCCTCTCCAAGAGTTCTCCAAGGTATGATATGATATGATGTGATATGATGTAAAAAGTAATCCTTATCCTTATATAGGTAGGTCAAATGACACCCAAAATAAACTACGGTCGTACAGCAAATATTCCCCAATGATTGGATAAATGATAACTTTTTGTGAGCTGGAAATTTAACTTTTTCGCACTAGAGGAAGTTCGATCGATCGAACCTTGGACTTGGATCGATCGAACATGGCTGAGATCTATTGAACTTAGGTTGGATCGATCCTCAATGGCGATGCTTTTTGGATAAAAACAAATCTGAGATATTTCAAAGATATTTTTGGGAAAAGGACAAAAGTGGTTGGTAGGGTGGTTGAAACTACAAAGAATTTCCCTCAATTACCGAGAGAGAAAATTTTCACTCCCAATGCTTTCTAACCACTTTTCCCTCTCGATTTCCCTTATTTATAGACGGTTACAACCTCCTCTGGCCTGGGCCTTATCTGCTCCCTTTTGCCTGGACTCAACTTCTCTCATTTTAATATGGGCTTCTGTAATGACTTTATGGATTTGGGCCCATCCAGTGTGAACTTGCTCCATCCTGTCTATCCATACCCGACCCGTCCTTTGCAATACGGATCATACCAAGCCCGGGTCATTTTGGTGTCCTCATCTGCCCCCAATAATCTCTCTCCTCATTAATGAAGGTGAGATTATTGAAAAGACACGATCTTGGTCTGACGGCTTGGAGCAATGACACGAGGAATCGAACGGCTGGTACAAAAACCTAAGCTTCGGGATCTGCAGCACCACTTTTTGCCTTGACCTTTTAAGTTCTATGTCGCCTTTACTTTTCCTCTTTATAAATTCCGGTCTTTCAACCTTCACCCTTCTTCTTATATCTCGCTTCTACTATCTGCTGCCTTCCTGCACATTCCGGCGATCCTTTTTCAATTTTTCCGACGAGTTTTTCCTTTTCGATTTTTAGCTACTGTGCCGTTTCTGCGTTCATCACAAACTTTCAAGGTTAGTTTTTTTAAAATCTCTCTTTAAAAAAGACGCCTTTACTGCCTAGGACTCCTCCCCTTCTCTATGGCTCCCCCTAATCTGAATGCCATTCGATCCAAGAATTGCATTCCTCGCAATGTTTCTCTTAGAGTCTATCCAATAAACTTGGATGGGAGATCTGGTGAGGGTCTCCTTCCTGGGGAGGTTTTATTCTCTGTCGTTCACTTGAACGTCATTAGGTTCCCCCTACACCCATTCTTTTGTTATGCTTTCAACAAATTGGGGCTCTGCCCCCTACAAGTTAACCTAAACTTTCTTAGGGTAATTTCAGTCCTTTTACTCTTGAATCATGACAGGGGTCTCAATCTTGACATTATTGACCTTCTCCTCTACTATCAGATTAATAAGATTTCACAAATTGATTTGTACTATCACTTCTTCCCTATTGACAAACGGTCGATCTGCACTGATAAGAACTCATTTGAAAAAGGTTGGAGACGAAACTTAATTGTGGTTAGTGGGAATTGGCAGACTCCGCTCAGCCAATCCTTCTCTATCCCTTCCTCCTTTGGAACATGCTCTATCTCTGGCTACAAAAAGCTGAAAACACATCCTACTAAATGCCACTGTGAAAGTTGTCTTCCCCGTTTTTGCACTTTTCTTTGTAGATACCTTCAAATTCCCCATGATGAACTAGTTTACAGCGTCTGCAGGGCTAGGCTAGACATCTTGCAAGAAAGTGTGCTGAACAATGTCCCTTCAGCTATTGATTTGCTTATATCTGACAATCTCTCTGACATCTCTCTTTTAGGGTCCACAATGGAGAACATTCAGATAACATCTTTCAGCAGGAGGAGGCGTTATGCTCCCACCCCTTCTAGCACTCCTGCTATCACATCATCATCGACACCTGCTTCCACATCATCTTCCCTTATTATCTCTGCCCCAGAGCAAGTTATGATTGTTCCAACTGTGACTTAAGTCACAAACCGTTCTGCTGTTGAGCCTTCTGAGCTCACTCATGCTGAGAACCCTATTGTGGACCATACTGCTGAGATCCATCCTGCTGCTCCCATCATTATGCCTTCCAACATCTTGTCTAATACTTCCTTAGAGAGCACTCAGGATGCTGGAAATTCTCAAGACAATGGAGGGCCAGCTAATGCTGGTCTATCAGAAAAAAGTTTGGGAAAAAGGCCAATGCCTGAGGGCGGTTATGACCAGAGTGATATCCCACCAGCCCGGAGGATCAGGATGGCTTCCTTCAGGGTTACTGAACCATTGCCCCCTGCCCGGTTCTTTATTCCAGAAGGCGAATCGGCCAGAACCTCTGGTCCGACTCCATCTGTTCTTCCATGGCGACCTTTGCTCAGCCATGAAGATGGATCGACCATTGGCCCCACTGACTCAATATATAAGGACCCCCTCACCTCTTTTGCTTTCTACAAGGGTTTCTGGACCCCCAAGGACCTTAAGATTCAGAACAAGCTATCCTTTGGTGAGATGTTCCAGCGGTTCCCAGCTGTTGCTATGGAGGTGACTCTTCTTTTATTGAAATGTGTTTCCTTTCTGCTATAACTCTTTAGTAGCTAGTTTGACCTGAATTTCCCTTCCTTTATGCAGACTCTATTCGGGATGTTCACTTTCCAAAAAACCATTGAGACTTTGAACAAAAAGCTTAAATCCCTCTCTGTAGGCCTTAAAAGGTCTGTTGAAGCAGAGAATCTCCTTGAGGCCAAGGTTGCTGAGCTGGAGTCTAAGTTGAGCGAGTCAGAGAAGGGGGTTGCTGACTTAAAGGCAGAGAAAGACGGTCTGGCAAATGAGAGGGATTCCCTCAGAGCTGAACGGGATACCCTGAAGACCGAACGGGATTCTCTTCAGGATAAGTTTGATGTCTTGAAAACTGAGAAGAGCGTCGCTCTGATAGAGAGGGACTCTCTCAAAGCTGAGAAGGGAGACCTTTAGCGCTCACTCATTGCTGAACGGTTGTCTCATGTGAACTCACAGGAGAAGCTCTTAAATGAACGGTCTTCCTTGCTGAATATGATTGGTAAAGTCGAAGGGGGTATGAAAGCTCTCCTTGCTCGCTTCACCAGATCCAGTGCCATCCGGTATGCTGAAGGGTACAGAGACGGTTTTATTGACCGTTCTCCCCCTGAAGGCGAATCAAGTTCTTGTGCTAGTCCAGATGAATTAGATGCTTCTCTGGATATCCACCCCCCAAATAATTATCAAAACCCACCCTGCAACCCGGATGAGAATATCTTCATCGAGTGCATAGAGGTTACATCCTCAGGAATTGTTCCACCCTTTCATCCCCTCAATATCCTTCCCCTTTCTACCATTGTGCCCTCTTCCTCAGTTGTTACTGACAGACCTATGCCTACTGAGGGAGTGATTTATCTTGACTCCCCTTCTAAGGATGATAGGGCAGCTGAGAATGGAGAAAACCTCAATGGTCCAGAGGATGATGGTGGGGAGAACGACAGGTCACAGCCTGGAGAAGATCATCAGAACTGACATCCTGTAGCAGTTTTTTTTTTTTTTTTATCTTCATGTATCAAGCTATGTACCTCAGGACCTTTTTGTAATGAATGACAATGCTTTTGCTCAACATGACTTCCATTCTTCAAGTTTTTCATTTTCAGCTTTGCTGTGTATTTTCACAAATGTTTGGTGTTCGGCCTTGTCACCATTCTGGTTTTATTTTATTTTGAGTGGCTTTACTTTATTTTAAGCAAGTGTTCGACATTCGGCTCATAGTGCCAGCTTCCACTATTTTTGCTGAGTGCCTAGCGCTCGGCTTGAACGCCTCTTGCCACTTGGCTTTATTTTTATTTTAGAGTAAGTGTTTGGCGTTCGGCTCGAAGTGCCAGCTACCACTAACTTTGCTGAATGCCTGGCGTTGGGCTTGAACGCCTCTTGCCACTTGGCTTTATTTTTATTTTTGAGCAAGTGTTTAGCGTTCGGCTTAAATTGCCAACTGCCACTAACTTTGCTGAATGCCTGGCGCTCGGCTTGAACGCCTCTTGCCACTTGGCTTTATTTTTATTTTTGAGCAAGTGTTTGGCGTTCGGCTTAAATTGCCAGCTGCCACTAACTTTACTGAATGCCTGGCGCTAGGCTTGAACGCCTCTTGCCACTTGGCTTTATTTTTATTTTTGAGCAAGTGTTTGGTGTTCGGCTTAAATTGCCAGCTGTCACTAACTTTGCTGAATGCCTGGCGCTCGGCTTGAACGCCTCTTGCCACTTGGCTTTATTTTTATTTTTCAGCAAGTGTTTGGCGTTCGGCTTAAAGTGCCAGCTGCCACTAACTTTGCTGAATGCCTAACGCTCGGCTTGAACGCCTCTTGCCACTTGGCTTTATTTTTATTTTTCAGCAAGTGTTTGACGTTCGACTTAAAGTGCCAGCTGCCACTAACTTTGCTGAATGGGAAGGGTGTCAATTAATTTTTTGAGCAAAGAAAAGACTTTTTATAAAACTGGGGAATTTCATACACTTGCAAGTATGCAATTTAAAGCGTGCATATTGTTTGAAATTAAACTCTACTTCTACTGGTAGTACCTTTTCAGGGACGTAGCATTCCATAGCTTATTGACCACCCTTCCTACCATAGTTTCTAGGACGTACGCCCCCTTCCTTATGACCTCTGCTATTCTGTATGGACCTTCCCATGGGGAGAACATCTTTTTGACTATTCCCACCTTCCTTTTCAGAACCAGGTCACCAAGAGCGAAGTCTTTGTGCCTCACCTTCTTGTTATGGCTATTCACAAGCGTCTGTTGATAAGAGGCAAGCCTTACTGCAGCCGCATCCCTTTTTTTCTCCAGCAAATCGAGATTAAACCTTAGCATTCTATCATTCTGCTCTTGATCCCACGCCAAGCTCCTTACAGTTGGAACCAAGTGCTCGACTGGTATCATCGTCTTGGTGCCATATGCCATAGCGAATGGGCTCTCTCCAGTCAGCCATCGTGGGGTTGTTCTGTAAGCCCACAAGACGTTCGGAAGCTCATCTAACCATTTTCCTTTTTCATTTTCTAGCTTTTTCTTAATGCAAGCAAATATTGTCCTGTTTGTGATTTCGGCTTGACCATTAGCCTGGGGATGACTGACTGCTACTAACTTCTGGTTGATTCCATATTCTTCCAGCAGCTCTTTCACTTGCTTGCTATCAAGGTTGGTCCCATTGTCCATCACGATTGACCTTGGCACGCCAAAACGATAGATAATATTATTCCAGATGAAGCGTCTTACTTGAGTTTGGGTGACACTAGGGTACGGCTCTACTTCTACCCATTTGGTGAAGTAATCAGTTGCTAGCAGAACGTACTTATTCTGCAATTTTGCCGTCGGCAAAGGGCCAACCACATCCATCCCCCACTGCGCAAAAGGCCATGGGGTGGCCATTACATGCAGGTCTTCAGGTGGTTGATGTATCAATGGCCCGAACCTCTGGCATTTATCGCATCTTCTAGAGAATTCCTCTGCATCTCGTGCCATGTTTGGCCAGAAGTACCCTTGTGTCATTGCTTTGTGTGCTAAAGATCTTCCTCCTGAATGATTTCTGCATACTCCCTCATGAATGGTTCGCATAATCTGTCTAGCCTCTGTTGGGGTAGCACACTTCAAATATGGACCCGAAAAGGAGCGTCTATACAACTGATCACGCACAATGGCATACTTTATAGCATTGGACCTAATTTTTCTTACCTCGTCCTTCTGCTCGGGGAGTACACCATTACGTATGAAAGCCATTATCGGATCAATCCAGCTCGGCTCATATGGTATAACATTATAATGCTGAGTGCTCGGATTAGGCAGCTCATAAAAAATGGAAGGTTGGACCAGCACGTCAACCGGGATGACCCTAGCCAAAGTCTCTCCAGAACTGGATGCACTACAAGCCAAGCGGTTGGCATCTTCGTTATACTCTCTTGGCAATTGGATGAACCTGATCTGATCGAAACCTTTCGCCTCACGCAGAACCGCAGTTTGGTATGCTTCCATGGTCTTATCCTTGGTCCCATATTCCCCAGTGACTTGCCGAATGACTAGTTGTGAATCATTATAAGCAATCAGATTCTTGATCTTCAGTTCTTTAGCCAACTTCAGCCCAGCTATCAAAGCCTCGTATTCTGCCTCATTGTTGGTTGCGTTGAATTCAAGTCTTATTGCTTGGCTCAGCGTGGTTCCTTCTAGTGTTCGCAATTGGATTCCAATCCCTACCCCCATTTGATTCGAAGAGCCATCCACGAAGAGTTTCCACAAGTAATCCTCCACTAAATCTTCAGCATCACATTCAAGTAGGAAATCCGCCACCGCTTGACCTTTGATTGCCGTCCTGGGCTCGTACGCAATATCAAATGAACTCAATTCAATGGCCCACTTGGTCATTCTCCCCGATAGGTCCGGTTTGTGCAGGATCATTCTTAAAGGGAAAGTTGTTAAAACGACGATCGGATGAGATTCGAAATAATGTCTAAGCTTCCTTTTTGCGTTGACCAGCGACAAGATCATTCGTTCGGCCCTTGAGTACATTCTTTCCGGCTCAGACATTATTTTGCTAACATAAAATATCGGGAATTGCTTTCCTTGTTTGCAACGGATCAGAACGGCACTAGTCGCTATACTGGATACCCCAAGATACAGAAAGAGCTTCTCATTCGGCTCGGGAGCAGATAGAACCGGAAGGTTGCGCATGTATTCCTTTAGGCTGGTTAGCACCTGTCATTGTTTATCCCCCCAGGTTTGCCTTCCGTGCCCTCGAATTGTATCAAAGAAAGGTTTACAGCGGTCCAAAAGCTTGGAAATAAATCGGCTTAGTGCAACTATTCGACCGGTGAGTGCTTGCACCTCCTTAGTTGTCTTTGGCTCTGTATTTTTTATCAGGGCTTCTGCCTGTGCTGGGCTGGCCTCAATTCCTCTATGATTAACCACATGTCCCAGAAATTGACCGAAGCTTACGCCGAATGAACATTTGGCTGGATTAAGCTTCATCCCATACTGGCGCAACACATCGAACACATCCTGCAGGTGCGCTAAATGATCGTTCTTCTTCTTACTCTTGACCATCATATCATCAATATAAGCCTTGATAGTGCTTCCCATTTTGCCCTTAAAAATCTTACTGATCAGCCTCTGATAAGTAGCTCTAGCGTTCTTTAATCCGAACGGCATGACTTTGTAGCAATAAGTCCCTCGTTCAGTAACAAACGAAGTTTTCTTTTCGTCAACTGGATTTATAGGAATTTAATTATAACCAGAATAAGCATCCAGGAAGGTTAACCGCTCGTATCCTGTGGTGGCATTTACCATTTGATCAATCCTTGGCAATGGGAAACTATCATTTGGGCAAGCTTTATTCAGATTAGTGAAGTCGATACACATTCTCTATTTCCTATTCTTTTTCTGCACTACAACAACATTGGAGAGCCAGGCCGGGTACTGAACTTCTCTGATGAATCCGGCTTCAAGTAGCTGATCAACCTCCTCAGCTATAATCTGATTTCGTTCTGGAGCAAATCTTCTCTGCTTCTACTTCACTGGCTTTGCATTCGGGTCTACATTGAGGGAATGATAGGATACAGCAGGATTTATCCCTGGCATATCTGAATGGCTCCATGCGAATACATCTGTATTCCGAGTCAAGAAATCAGTCAACTCTAGTTTTTCCTCTTCAGTAAGTCTGGTTCCCACCCTTGTTGTTCGGTTCGGTTTCTCATGGCCAATCTTCACTTCATGAAGGGGTTCTATGGTCAGAACTGGTGGCTCCTCCTCCCCATCTTTGTTGGGAGGAGGGTTCTGTAATTGCTATTTTGGAGTGGCAGAGCAGATGGGATTTTTTCCTTTTCCAGCAGATTTCAAAGTTACTGAATAACATTCTTTAGCTGCAACCTGGTCATCGTGTATGTTTATCACCTTGGTCCCATCTAGACCCAAACATCGCATCACTTGATACAAGGTTGATGGGACTCCCTGAACTCTGTGAATCCATCCTCTGCCCATCAAGAGGTTGTAGGATGGATGAATTTCCATGACCACAAAACTTTCAGTCAAAACTCGCTCAGCAGCTTGTACTGTCAATTCCACCATTCCAATGGGTTCCACTCGCTTCCCATCAAATCTGAGCAACGGATTTCCTGTGGGTTTGAGTTTTTCGGGTTCGATCTCAAGTCGGTAGAACGTCACCCTGGGCATGACATTCACACTACTTCCTGGATCAATCAAAACTCTTCGAGCCAGGCATTCTGCAACCGTCAGACTGACGACTAATGGATCTTCATGAGGAATCTGAACGCATAGCAGGTCCGTTCCATTAAACTTTATCGATGTGGACACGTTCTGCTAGTGCAAAGCATGCACACTGCCAATCATTCTTTTCAACTGGGCCTGGCGTAATGATCGGTTGGTCAATTAAACATCAACCTTCGCAATAGCACGAATCATTGTAAAATAGGGCTATTGGTCGGGTAAGTCGAACCACTGGGACTGCGCTAATCTATGGCAACCTAAGTGTCTAGAGTCATTTTAGAGTGATAAGGGGTGTTCATAGAGGGTTTGTTTTGTTTGTCACTAAACTACAAATTCAGAATGCATAAAACAATAATTTGCAAGGAATTTAGGATGAAAAGATTAAGAAGAGGAGACTAGGGAAGTGAATCCGCCTCCATCCCTATACATATGCTAGATTAGACCTAAATTGGGGGAAAAACAACATATGATGGTCAAGACTTACATAGCAACACATAGTTGCCATGTAAGTAATCAAGAGGTACATTAGGTCTCAAACAAGTATAATCCATCAAAAGACAAACATGCTTAGACTACCTAACTAAGGTGTAACTTATACACATTTACTTAAATGAGAGACTATCAAGTTCTTGACAAAATGATAAAGCACATGGAGTTAGAGATTAAGCATACACCATCAAAGGATTTCCTAAGCAATGGTCTATCAAAGTCACCTATCAACATGCCATGAAACCATTTCATAACCTTGCTTCCATTCTCACCATGAAAACTCAAGCAATATGATTACTCTAAGACATCATCTAAAACAAGATAATTAACTTAAAGGAATCATCCATACATGTATCAACATTCATTCCAACAAATGAGGTGCTCTTGGTTATGAAAAGACCATAAAATATACATAGCAAATCCCCAAAATAGACTATCCTAGGACATGCTTACAAGGGAGGGACTTCATCACCTCCCTAGAGAAATAGTTAGTTACCCATTGCTAAGCTAGAAGAAGGAAGAATCTCCATCCAAGACTCCATTTTCGTGCTCCTACTGTAGCACTCAAGAACACCCTCTTCCTTGCTCTCTTCTCTCTCCTCTAATCTTGTAGAATGAAGGATAATGATATTGTGTGGTCCTCCCTCTCTCTTATCAAGCTCAAGTCAAGGCTCTCTCTCCTCCAAGGAACACCTCCAACCACTTCATAAAAAAGGAAGATGGCATTGAGGAAACCAATGTGCAAGTGGCTGAAATTGAGCCATTTTCGAGTGCAATCTGCCAGAATTTCGAGCACTCGAAGGGTGGTCTCGAGCACTCTAAATTAGTGTAACGTGCAACATGCTCTTCTTGCTCAGCACTGACCTACTTTGGTAAAACTACTATAACTTTGTGCCCTGAACTCCAAATGACGATCTGTTTGAAGATTTGGAGAGCTGATTCAGTGTTTTAAAAACTTCATGTTTTGATAAAGACCCAATTCTCAAGTCTGGTTGGTCGAAAATGGGGAGAAAGGCAGTACTTTAGTGCTGCCAGGCAGTTCTGCACACCTCTGTTAAGAAGATCATAACTCTCTGTTCCAAACTCTGAATGATGAACCGCTTGAAGATTTGGAAAGCTGATTCAGAGCTCTAAATCTTTCATGTTATGATGGAAGTCCAGTTCTTAAGTTTGCTAGGTCGAAAATGGTGACAAAAGTCAGGTTCTACTGCTGCCAGAAATTCAGAATTGGCACCCTTTTTGTTCAAAATTCCACAAGGCATCATTTTTGCTTCCTTTTTGCAATTTAACCTGAAAATGTACAAAAACATGCAAATGGAGATAATCTACATAAAATAATCAATTAATGGACTTTGTTAATGTAATTTAGGGCGCTTGAATATACAGTATTCAGCGCTTATCACGTAACTGCATTCTGAGCAACTCTTCTGACTCCGTCGTCTGTTCAGGCCGGCCATGAATTGCATTTATAATCTGAACAGGCTGAGAGTTGTGTTGGTTCGGCCTCTGGTTCCGCTTGATCTTCTCAGTCGGGCGGTTCTGCTCTTGCGCCAAACCTTGAATATAGCTTGCAAATTCCCCCTTTGTGATTAGCATCTCTACCTACCTCCTTAGGTTCCTGCATTCGTTAGTTTAATGTCCAAAATCACTATGGAAAGCACAATGTTTAGTTTGATCCCTCTGTTCAAGAGGTTGCCTGATTGGCAGAGGAGGACAAAACTTATCTTTGTTCTCTTGGTATAGCCTTGCTAAGGTGACTCTGAGTGGAGTGACTGATTCTTCCTCCCTGGGCCTCTTCTCCGCCTTTCATGAGGTGTGACATTGCGGCTGAGCTTGTTTTTGCCGGATCTTGGCTTTGGACTTCTCTTCCGTCGAAATAATTGACGTCTTCCTCGAATTAGCTGCCTCTTCCTCCTCAAGATGAACAAAACTGTCAGCTCTCTCGTTCAGCTCGTCCATGGTCTTTGGCGTATTGACCACCAAGCTGGTGTGGAACGGCGTCCCCCGGTTCATTGCGAGTTGAAATGCTTGGACTGCTGTGGACGGATGACACTCCATTACCATGCTTTTAACGAGGTTGAACCAGGTGAGAAAAGCTTGGAGCCGTTCATCCTCATGCTGCTTCATTGTGAAAAGGCTTGATACATCCTTAGCCGGATGTTTATTCCCGTAGTACTGGCTTATGAACTTATCGCATAAGTCCTGGAAACTGGCGATTGAGCCCTGAGCCAGATTCTTGAACCAATTGAGAGCTGGTCCAGCCAAGCTCGTATGGAAACATTTGCACATCAAAGGATCATTATTAGTATTCAAAGCCATTTTCAACTGAATATGGTAGATGTGATCGACCGGATCGGTTATTCCGTCAAACAGAATGAAAACCGGCATGGAGAACTTCTTCGGATTCGGCGCGTTCAGAATTTCATCAGTGAACGGAGATGTAACCGTCCTTGCTGATGAGCGCAATGCTTCATTTTCCTTTGAAAACCGTGACGGAAACCCCCGATCGGCAAATCTCCTTTCTGAACTGTGGTAATCAAATGTTGCTAATGAAGGTCGGTAAGGCGGATCGAACGACCTGTCCTCCGCAAACTCACTCTGCCACGGTGACGCAACCCTATGTTCATATGCTGGTGCTTCCTCCCTCATAATCCGTTCGTGATGTGGTTCCAGATGAATAGATCCTTCTCGATCCTCTACTCGACGGACATTCGGAGGCAGATCACCGATTACAACTTCATCACGACATGGATCAACATGATTGACACCTTCTGGATCACCTTGACGATCAGCTTGGGACGGTAAAGCTCCCTCTCCTTCAGGAGGTGGCCTCGGAATTGCAGGAGCCTCACGACGCTCCATTCCAGCTCGTAGCTCTGCATTTTCTTTCCTCAAAGCGTCGATCATGTTCATCAGCTCATCGAGCTTCGTCTGCTGGCCGTTCTCTAAAGGATTTGAGT